TAGCCCAACTACCATTTTCTATGCTCTGATAACCTCTAGGTTAGATTACTGCAGTGCATTCATTATACATAGGGCTGTTTCTGAAGATGGTTCGGAAACTTCAGCCTGGTGCTGAATATAGTGGCCAGGGGCAAGACAGTTTGGGCATGTTACACCAATCCCGGTCTGACTGTACTGGCTGCCAGTTAGTTTCTAGGCCCAATGCAAAGTGGTGGTTCAGACCTAGAAAGCACAATTCAAAGTGTTGGTGTTGACCTTTAAAGCCCTAAATGGCCTCGGCCCTGTATACCTGAAGGAGCATCTCCACCCCTATCGTTCTGCCCAGATGCTGAGGTCCAGCACCAAGGGCCTTCTGGCAGTTCCCTCACTGTGAGAAGCAAAGTTACAGGGAACCAGGCAGAGGGCCTTCTCGGTAGTGGCACCCGCCCTGTGGAACGCCCTCCCACCAGATGTCAAAGAGAAAAACAACTACCAGACTTTTAGAAGACATCTGAAGGCATCTGAAGTTCAGGGAAGTTTTTATTGTGTGACATTCTATGTATTTTTAATCTTTGTTGGAAGCCGCCCAGAGTGGCTGGGCAAACCCAGCCAGATGGGCGGGGTACAAATAAATTATTATTATTATTATTATTATTATTATTATTATTATTATTATTATTATTTGGCTCAGGATTGCAATACTGCAAGGACCGCTTCTCCCCATGTGAACCTACTTGGACTCTGTGATCATCACCTGAGGCCCTTCTTCATGTGCTTCCTCCATGAGAGGTCCAGCAACACAGGAACAGTCTTTTCTGCAGTGGTTCCCCATTTGTGGAATGCTCTCCCCATGGAGGTTCAGCCGGCACCTTCATTATATATCTTTAGGTGCCAGGCAGAAACGTTCCTCTTCAACCAGGTTTTGGGCTGACTAACAACCTATATCCTTTAAAATGTGTTTGTGGGAAGGGCTGGGATGAGAGATTATTGGTTTTGTTTGTTCTTGCTTTTGCTTTTATTATGCATTTTGCATTTTTGTCTTGTATTTTTATGCTATGAACTGCCTTGAGATCGACAAATGAAGGGCAATATGCAAATATAATGAGTAATAATGATAAGTAACTGTCAGGGAACTGCCATCAGCTCAGAGGCGAGAGGTGGAAGGGCAGTTGGGTTACAGGGAGCCTCCGAAGATTGTGACAAGCAGCTCTTCCTCTGCGGAGGAGGGAAGCCATGCCTCCAGTGGGGAAGGGATGCAGGGTTCGGAGGATGCTAGAGAGAGCTGCAACAGTGAGCCTGAGCAAAGCGGGGGGGGGGGGTAGGCAGGTCCCCCTTTGCCCATGCCCTCTCTCCGCAGTCGGTTTACGCGCAGAGAGGGGAGGCGTAGGATGGGGGTCAAAAGTCTGTTCTGCTGGGGAAAGTTTAAGGACTGCCCACTCCCAGATTCTGCTAGTGACTGAGCAGACATGGAATGGAGATGTTCTGCACTGTGAATGTTTTTGCACCGATAATAAAGCCTCGAAAAGACCAGTGGGGGTCTTGCCTGTTCGCTCTCGAGCAACCACGCCGGCACACATAACAGTAACCATTCCATCTTAAAAGTTCTCAGTCCCCACCCCCATATGCACACGCAAACAAAAATCAACTTAAACCTGGATTGGAATTTTTTTGCCGACTGGCTTCTGCTATTCTCCGGATGGAGAAATGCCATTCTTATCTCTTTCAACATATATGAGCACAGGTTTTGAATCAGAAAACACATAAAATGTTTTACACACTTCCCATCTTGGCCTACATACAAACCATGCTACGTTTTTTTGCTGTCAGGACATCTATAAAACAGTGACATTCTCCTCTCAACAGGACAAACTGGATCTGCAGGGAAAGGAATAATGTCTCCGTTAATGGGCTGGAAGTTTAGGGCATAACTTTCTAGAGTCCTGCTGGATCAATTCCCACACTGTCCAGCACTCCCCAATGGATAATTTGAGAGAAATTTAAAGAAACAGAAAAGCCTGTTACTGATCTCCAGTACATCATCTAAGCTGGGCATAAGAAGTCATAATAATTTTGGGAAAGTGATTTGAAGTTTAGAGCATGTTATTCTTTGTAGAACTACTTGAAAATGATGTACAGGCAGTATCTAACTCCGAGGAGGCTTGCTAAGATGTATAAGACTGAATCAGATAAGTGCTGGAGATGCAATGAGGTTGAGGGAACTTCTTTCATATGTGGTAGACCTGTAAAGGGGTAAAAGAGTATTGGAAAATAATCCATAATGAATTGAAAAAAATGTTTAAAAGTTGTTGTTGTTGTTGTTGTTTAGTCATTTAGTCGTGTCCAACTCTTCGTGACCCAATGGACCAGAGCACGCCAGGCACTCCTGTCTTCCACTGCCTCCCTCGGTTTGGTCAAACTCATGCTGGTAGCTTCGAGAACACTATCCAACCATCTCGTCCTCTGTCTTCCCTTTCTCCTTGTGCCCTCCATCTTTCCCAACATCAGGGTCTTTTCCAGGGAATCTTCTCTTCTCATGAGGTGGCCAAAGTATTGGAGCCTCAGCTTCAGGATCTGTCCTTCCAGTGAGTACTCAGGGCTGATTTCCTTCAGAATGGATAGGTTTGATCTTCTTGCAGTCCATGGGACTCTCAAGAGTCTCCTCCAGCACCATTCAGATGGAAAATCCCAGGTTCCAAAAAAGGTTATTTATGTATGCCACTACTGCAGCCCATGTTTTGTTAGCCCAAAAACGGAAAACGAGGTCCCAACCAAAGAAGAATGGCAATTTAAACTCATAGAATATGCACAGCTTGCGGACTTAACATATAGAATAAGAGAACAAGAGAAAATTAGAGAAGATTGGAAAATGTTTATTGAATATATGGGGGGAAATTGTGTGCACTTGAAAACATTGGCAGCGTTAAGATAAATTCAACAGTGTAAATAAGTTTTGGTGGATGTAATAATGGAATACTGAATGGTTTAGTTTCTGTAAAATATGCAGGGGTTTATGGTATGCAAAATGAACCATGGAAAGAGAGGAAGGGAAGTCACTGATATTTTAAGGATGTTTAAATGAGTATTCTAAATTGTAAAACAGAAAATTTAATAATAATTATATATATAAAACTTAAGCTCTGCTGGATCAGGTGAAAGGCCCATCTACTCCACCCCCCTGTTTTTGCAGAGGTCAACGAGATGCCCCAGGAAGTGTGCAAGGAGGAAAGAAGGTGAAGCAATTGCGTCAGGCTGGAGATTCCAGTAGCCTCGCACATTTCCTTTTGTACATCACTGTAGCTCTAAAACATAAGCTGTTTAGGAAGAAATATGCAGGAATGGAAAGACACGGTTTGTCTGAATGTTTGAGAAAGAAGCTGCAATTATCAACTAAGTAAAACTAAGGCCATGCTTGGATAAGCGTGTAAGTGTAAATACTTTGAATGTTTTTTTCTGTGGCTATATGTTCTACAAGTAAAAGCTTTTTGAATATCAAGAGTCAGTGTTGCACATGATTTGGCTTCCTAGCTGCAATTGAGCTACTCTGCCAACATGTATGTGGGAGGCTTGAGGTCTGATCTCCTGAATCTCCCATTGGAGCTGAGAGAGGCCCCTATCTGAAGCACCTTTGAAAACGGTTGCCGGTCAGTAGGCAATACTGAACTAGATGAAGCAGGGGTCTGACCCCCAATATAAGTTAGCTTTTGATGTTACGACCTTTCAGGGATCTAAGCTTTACATTCGGTTTTCTGCAAAAGGAAATGTGTGCCAAAGAAGCACAAAAAAGTGACTTTTTGGGATTTACTCAGACTAATCTTGGATATCTGAAGCCTGTCATTTAAACAGAAGAAGACACTGTCTTTGAAAATGCTGTTTGATTAGTCTTCTGCTATTGGTCAGTTCTGAGCCCTCCCCTCTCATTAGCTAAGGAGTTCTTTTCAACATACGTGACAATATAGGCATCCATTGAGATGCCGATAGCTTTGCTACAGAAGAATGACTTTGAAGAAGTATGAGATTTTTGGGGCATGGCTAAATTAACAAATTACAGTGGTACCTCGGGTTACATACACTTCAGGTTACATACGCTTCAGGTTACAGACTCCGCTAACCCAGAAATAGTACCTCGGGTTAAGAACCTTGCCTCAGGATGAGAACAGAAATCGTGCTCCGGCGGCGCGGCAGCAGCAGGAGGCCCCATTTGCTAAAGTGGTGCTTCAGGTTAAGAACAGTATCAGGTTAAGAATGGACCTCCAGAACGAATTAAGTACTTAACCCGAGGCACCACTGTAATCGCAAGCAAGGGAAAACACACAGTAGTTGGGAGAGTTGTTTAATATCTCCTTTTATTAATTTGACTCCTGAATGTCAAGTGTACTGCTTGTCACAGTGGAGAAGAAGATGAAGAGGAGGAGGAGGAGGAGGAGGAGGAGGAGGAGGAGTTTGGATTTGATATCCCGCTTTATCACTACCCGAAGGAGTCTCAAAGCGGCTAACATTCTCCTTTCCCTTCCTCCTCCACAACAAACACTCTGTGAGGTGAGTGAGGCTGAGAGACTTCAGAGAAGTGTGACTAGCCCAAGGTCACCCAGTAGCTGCATGTGGATGAGCGGGGAAGCGAACCCGGTTCACCAGATTACAAGTCCACCGCTCTTAACCACTACACCACACTGGCTCTCTCTAAAGCAGAGGTTGGGTGGCCATCTGTCATGGATGCTCTAGTTGAGATTCCTGCATTGCAGGGGGTCGGACTAGATGACTCTAAGGGTCCCTTCCAACTCTATGATTTTATGAAATATCTAAAGGGCTGCTACATGGAAGAGGGAGTGAGCTTGTTTAATCCTGTTCAAGAGAACAGGACCCAAACCAATGTATTCAAACCACAAAAAGGGGGGTTCCAACTAATCATCAGGAAGAACTTTCTGACAATAAGAGCTGTTCAACCATGGAATGGTCTCCCTCAGGAGATGGTGGGCTCTCTTTCCTTGGAGATTTTAAAGCAGAGGTTGGATGACCATCTGTCATGGATGCTTTAGCTGAGATACCTGCGTTGCAGGGGGTGGGATAGATGATGTCTGGGATCCCTTGCAACTCTACAGTTCTGTGATTCTGTGCCTTTCTTATGCCTGAATTTGTATTCAGTATGAAATAATAAGCCTTCATCTTTGTTTTTATTTTAAAGTAGGATTTCTAATCTGTGTTTTAATCGGCGTTAGAGCTGATCCATTAGTCATGCTCATTTATCCTTGTGTATCGCAAGCAGACATTCTTCACTGGCAATTAAAAAATAATAATCAGAGAAAAAGGAGGAGGGGACATTGACACTTGATACTGTCACTTCAGCTTCAATCTTTTTTGCAACATTTCATGTCATCCCCGTCACATCTTGCTGATATAACAGAAAGGCAGGTGTCATCAGGTGGATTCATGCACATGCCCCCCAGATCTTCACATTTTAACCGTGGTGGTACTGCAGAAAAGAAATAGCATTATTATTATTATTATTATTATTATTATTATTATTATTATTTCCAAAGAGTGAATAAGGAGGACACCAATTGCATTCAGGTAGACTCTAAGCCTGCCCATGACTCACTTTGGACTGAAGACAATTGTCCTATAGCCAGGATGCACTCATTCTGTAAAGAGCTTCAGGGGGTGGAATAGATGAGCTCTGAGGTGTCTCCCGACTCTAGGATTCTGAATATAGCTTGACAATGTGTGCTGGGCTCCATATACAGCCTTGATATTCCCTTGTCTGAGACTCCTGATCACTAGCAGTGAGGACAGGATTAATAATACCGACAATTCCCCACTCACATGCGTTCAACTTGTGTGCGACCGTGTATACACATAGCACCGGGAAATTAATAATAATAATAATAATAATAATAATAATATTTTATTGATATGCCACACACCTGACTGGGTTTGCCCCAGCTACTCTGGGTGGCTTCCAGCAAATTTAAACATCAAACATTGAAAACTTCCCTATACAGGGCTGCCTCCAGATGTTGTCCATAAGTCAGTTGTCTATTTCCTTGACATCTGACAGGAGGGTGTTCCACAGGGCAGGTGTGACTACCATGAAGAACCTAGGTGTGTTTCAATTCAGGAATGAAATTCAAACCCAGAAATGGCCAGAGAGAGCCAGAGAGCGCTTGTAGCTTATGAGGGGCCCGAAAGGGATGTCAGTGAGGCTCCCAGAGATTTAATCCTAATTGGGGATATTTTTAGATACAATATTTATGGTATGGATTGGGGAGAGAGTGGTATAAAGAGTGTTTAGAGGGTCTTCCTCACTTTACGGATTTTCACTTATGCACGCAGGGGCAGAATGTAACCTCCGTGTAAGTGAAGAGTTGCCTGCAGCAACAACAACAACAGCAACAATTTGTTTAGTCAGGCACTTAGGAATAACAAGAACATCAAAGGGTTGCTAAGATGAATATGCACAACTTGCATACATAACATATAGAATAAGAGAACAAGAAGAACTTATGTTTAAAGAAGATTGGAAGGTGTTTGTTGAGTACAGTGGTACCTCGTTTATGAATATGTAGTTCGGCTTCCATCGTTCAACTTCCATTCATAGACCGAGTACTACGAATGGAAGCCAAACGGTGGAAGGGCACTGGCGCTGGGAGGCCTCATTATAGGGAATGTGCACCTCAGTTTAAGAATGGTTTTGGTTTAAGAACGGACTTCCAGAATGGATTAAGCTCATAACCCGAGGTACCATTGGCTCCCAGTATATGTCCGAGCACAATTCAAAGTGTTGGTGCTGACCTTTAAAGCCCTAAACATGCTTGGCCCAGTATACCTGAAGGAGCATCTCCACCCCCATTGTTCAGCCTGGACACTGAGGTCCAGCTCCGAGGGCCTTCTGGCAGTTTCCTCATTGCGAGAAGTGAGGTTACAGGGAACCAGACAGAGGGCCTTCTCAGTAGTGGTGCCCACCCTGTGGAACGCCCTCCCATCAGATGTCAAAGAAATTAAGAACTATCCTATTTTTAAAAGGCATCTGAAGGCAGCCCTGTTTTGGGACGTTTTTAACATTTAATGCTGTATTGTTTTTAACACTCAATTGGGAGCCGCCCAGAGTGGCTGGGGAAACTCAGCCAGATGGGCGGGGTATAAATAATAAATTATTATTATTATTATTATTATTATTATTATTATTATTATTATTTACAACTATATATAGAAAATAACTGTGTACAGCTGAAAATGCTGGCAGCATTAAGATAAATTCAACAGTGTGTATAGGTTTTGATGGATGTAATAATGGAATGCTGAATGGTTTAGTTTCTGTAAAATATGCAGGGATTATGTAAAATGAACCATGGAAAGAGAAGAAGGGAAGTTACTGATATCTTAAGGATGTAAAAATGAGTACTTTAAATTGCATAACAGAAAATTATATATATTGTTGTTATTCTATCTATCTATCTATCTATCTATCTATCTATATCTATCTATCTGTCATCTCTCTATCTATCTGGAATAACAACCAAGCACCCATCTTTGCAGAACTGCACATGACTTACATTTGCAGCATGTCTCATTAACATGAGAGCATGGTAATGGAAGGACATCGTCATCATCACAGTCTTTGTCTGATGAAGGTTGGCAGTAGCCCCTCCGGTCTTCACACATCTCCTCAGGTGGCACTGTACAAAAAGGGGGGGGACAAATAAGACTTCCATTAGTTGGGAGACAAATTGGCCTAGCCCTTACCCCCCCCCCACCACCACCACACACACACCCTAAAAGGTAGTTTGATGTACATCAAGGAGCGTAGGAGCCAACTCCTAGGGGCCATGGAGTTTTTGGCCCCCACAATAACACATTTGAGGGGGCCAGGCCCCCAGAAAGTTGATGGGCATTCTCATCCAAATAGTGTGTGTGCATTGCATCATGTGATCACAGGGCTTACCAATATTTTATTCAAGTTGGCATCCCTGTCAAGGGGAACATCCTGATTTTCAATGAAGCTGGCTTGATGGCTCCGATATACAGTGGTACCTCAGGTTACATACGCTTCAGGTTACAGACTCCGCTAACCCAGAAATATTGCCTCGGGTTATGAACCTTGTTTCAGGATGAGAACAGAAATTGTGCTCCGGCGGCGCAGCAGCAGCAGGAAGCCCCATTAGTTAAAGTGGTGCTTCAGGTTAAGAACAGTTTCAGGTTAAGTACTGACCTCTGGAATGAATTAAGTACTTAACCTGAGGTATCACTGTACCTTTATTCATTAGATTCCAGCACAGGAGAGGGGGACTTCTGACCCCCGCCCTGGCCAAATCTGGTCTGCCAGGTCTCCCATTTGGCTCACGGGGCCATTTTTGCAACACCACGCCCACCTTCCCCACACATGACGTCGCAGTTGCCCATCCCTAGAGAAAGAAGGATCGGCTCATCTGCTGATAGTAGAATAGAATCAAAGAATTGTAGAGCTGGAAGGAACCACGAGGGTCAACCTTTCGAAGGAACGGTTTTGCCCGACATGGGGCTTGTATCCACAACTGTGAGCTGCAGGGGGAGTTCCATCCTACTTGCGCTTTTAGTGCAAAGCCTTTCCGGATCAGGAGGGGGTCTGCATTAAAATGAAATTTCCCTCTTCATTTTATAGCAGGGGTCTCAATTGTCCTTGCTGGCCATCAAATGATGGGCAGTGTGGGAGAGTCTTTCAGTTTCCATTGAAACCACTGTTGAAATTCGGGGGGGGGGTCTCCATCATACCAATGGCTTCCATGGAAATTGCTCTCCCTCCCCCCCTTGCAGGAAGGTGAGTGCCCATTTACAGCAGTACCTCAGGTTAAGTACTTAATTCGTTCCGGAGGTCCGTTCTTAACGTGAAACTGTTCTTAACCTGAAGCACCACTTTAGCTAATGGGGCCTCCTACTGCTGCCGCACCGCCGGAGCCCGATTTCTGTTCTTATCCTGAAGCAAAGTTCTTAACCTGAAGCACTATTTCTGGGTTAGCGGAGTGTGTAACCTGAAGCATATGTAACCTGAAGCATATGTAACCCGAGGTACCACTGTACAGTGGTGCCTTGCAAGATGAAATTAATTCGTTCCGCGAGTTTTGTTGTCTTGCGATTTTTTTCGCCTTGTGAAGCACGGTGTCGGAAAAGTTTTGGAAAAGCTTCAAAAATCACCAAAGTCTTCAAACCCCCCCAAAAAGGCTACCACACCGCATGCTATGAGTTGCTCCTCGAAGTCAAGTCGCAACTGTATTAATGGTGTTAAGAAAAAGGAAACAAACTTGCAAGACGTTTCTGTCTTGCGAAGCAAGCCCATAGGGAAAATCGTCTTGCGAAGCAGCTCAAAAAACAAAAAACCCTTTCGTCTTGCGAGTTTTCCGTCTTGCGAGGCATTCGTCTTGCGAGGTACCACTGTATATCCTATTAGAGAACCATATTAAGCTCTCCCACCCATCAGCTGATGGACTGAAGAAGCAAGCCTGCTTTCTGTTGTCGGGAGGCCTTGCTACCTGCAAGCAACAGCTGGATAGCTCAGTTGGCTACAGCATGGTGCTGATAACGCCAAGGCTGGTGGTTCGATCCCCGTAAGGGACAGCTGCATATTCCTGCATTGCAGAGGGCTTGGACTAGATGAACCTCTGGGTCCCTCCTATCTCTATGAAGTCTTGACTTCAGCTCGACACACTTGCCAAATTTGGCCCGCGAGGCCAAAACTCAACAGAATCTGGCCCACAGAACCAAAAATGTGCCCCCCTCCCCATTCCAGCATCATGCCGAACTAGAATAATGCACCAAAGAAAGTCTCCTCTGTTGCAAAACAGAACACTCTGAACAACAATAAGCAACACATCAGTTAATAATACTGACAATATTTTTCTATAACACTATACTGTTTCAAATCTGGAAGGACGCATCCTGAAGCTGAGGTTCCAATACTTTGGCCACCTCATGAGAAGAGAAGGATGCCTGGAAAAGACCCTGATGTTGGGAAAGATGGAGGGCACAAGGAGAAGGGGATGACAGAGGACAAGATGGTTGGACAGTGTTCTTGAAGCTACTAACATGAGTTTGACCAAACTGCGGGAGGCAGTGGAAGACAGGAGTACCTGGTGTGCTCTGGTCCATGGGGTCACGAAGAGTCGGACACGACTAAACAACTAAACAACAGCAATTGTTTCAAAATTCATAAACAGAAGACATATAATATGTGCATGGAGTCACAAACTAATAAGAATCATATAAATGTTCCATGAACAGTTCTTCCAGGATAATGAACTGTTTCAATGATAAATCTTCATCAGCAAATTAAGAGTACCCAAAGGTTCAAAATTGGGAAAGGAGTATGACAAGGCTGTATTTTGTCTCCCTGCTTATTTAATTTATATGCAGAATACATCATGCGAAAGGCTGGGCTGGATGAATCCCAAGCTGGAATTAAGATTGCCGGAAGAAATATCAACAACCTCAGATATGCAGATGACACAACCTTGATGGCAGAATGTGAGGAGGAATTAAAGAACCTTTTAATGAGGGTGAAAGAGGAGAGCGCAAAATATGGTCTGAAGCTCAACATCAAAAAAACGAAGATCATGGCCACTGGTCCCATCACCTCCTGGCAAATAGAAGGGGAAGAAATGGAGGCAGTGAGAGATTTTACTTTCTTGGGCTCCATGATCACTGCAGATGGTGACAGCAGCCATGAAATTAAAAGACGCCTGCTTCTTGGGAGAAGGGCAATGACAGGCCTAGACAGCATCTTGAGAAGTAGAGACATCACCTTGCCAACAAAGGTCTGTATAGTTAAAGCCATGGTTTTCCCAGTAGTGATGTATGGAAGTGAGAGCTGGACCATAAAGAAGGCTGATCGCCAAAGAATTGATGCTTTTGAATTATGGTGCTGGAGGAGACTCTTGAGAGTCCCATGGACTGCAAGAAGATCAAACCTCTCCATTCTTAAGGAAATCAGCCCTGAGTGCTCACTGGAAGGACAGATCATGAAGCTGAGGCTCCAGTACTTTGGCCACCTCATGAGAAGAGAAGACTCCCTGGAGAAGACACTGATGCTGGGAAAGATGGAGGGCACAAGGAGAAGGGAGCGACAGAGGATGAGATGGTTGGATAGTGTTTTTGAGGTTACCAGCATGAGTTTGACCAAACTGCGGGAGGTAGTGGAGGACAGAGGTGCCTGGCGTGCTCTGGTCCATGGGGTCACGAAGAGTCGGACACGACTAAACTACTAAACAACAAAGGTACTTCAAATGGCCATAGATCAGCTATCACTAGAAAGTGTAGTATCCTGAAAGAACTGTACTGTCTACTGCTGTTCTTGGAGCACCCTATTTTGACGTTTGGAGCACCCATCATCTCACATTTGTAGGATATTGACTGTGGCAAGCCATTCTGCCTCCATTTCAGTGATCTTTGACAGTGACTTGCCACTCCTACCATTCCTGTTCATGGAACATTTATTTGATTCATATTAGTTTGTGACTCCATGCACATGTTATATGTCTTCTGTTTATGAATTTTGAAACAGAAGAAGAAGAGTTTGGATTTGATATCCCGCTTTATCACTACCCGAAGGAGTCTCAAAGCGGCTAACATTCTCCTTTCCCTTCCTCCCCCACAACAAACACTCTGTGAGGTGAGTGAGGCTGAGAGACTTCAGAGAAGTGTGACTAGCCCAAGGTCACCCAGCAGCTGCATGTGGAGGAGCGGAGACACAAACCCGGTTCCCCAGATTACGAGTCTACTGCTCTTAACCACTACACCACACTGGCTCTCAGTATAGAAACAGTATAGTGTTATAAAAATAAATTCAGTATACAGTGGTATCTCCGGTTACGAACGGGATCCGTTCTGGAGGCCCGGCCGTATCCTGAAAACTTCATAACCGGAGGCATCCTTCTGTGCATGCACAAGATGTACAGAGTGCTTCTGCACATGTGAGTACAGCGAAACCTGGAAGTATACACTTCCGGGTTTGCCGCGGCCGTAACCTGGAGATTCCGTAACCTGGAGGTTACAGAACACGAGGTACCATTATATTATTAGCCGACATGTTGCTTGTTGTTCAGAGTACCTAGAATAATGGCCAGCTAAGGGGGGGGGTTGTGTGTTTTTCGTAATGATGAAGCTTCCTGCAATAGTAGACTAAGCAGCTGTGGTTCCACAGAGGACAGGGGGCAACAGGCATCACCTTGCAATTTGCCTCAGGAAGCAAGATGCTTTGGGCTGACCCTAGCTAGTGCCTAGGACCACAGCTTCAGGAACATAGGAAACATGGCAAGCTGGCTAATACTGAGTGAGACCACTGGTCCGCCTAACAATATTGTCCACAGTGAATGGCAGCAATTCCCAGGTTTCAAATGGAGTTTTTTCCCCTAACCCTATTAGGAGATGCTAGGGATCAAACCTGGGACTTTCTGCATGAAAAAGCAGGTGCTTTTTGTCTCCAATTACTTTTTGGCAATTGTTACTTTTAATTTCCTTGATTAGTTAAACAAAAGTGCAAGCATAGAAAAGAAAAGAAAGATAACAACAAGGGATCAACAATCTAAACCATAAGGAGTCACAGCCTGGAAGGATTAGAATGATGCGGTGCAAATCAAAAGGAATAGTGAAGTATTACATCATGCAAAGATTCCCTTTACAAATAATAAATATTATCAGTGCTTTTTTCTGGGGGGGATGCAGGGGTACATATACCCCTAAACATTTTGTGAATCTTTGTACTTCCGTCCATTTACTGCATTTATTTTTTCCCAATTTGAACTACAAAAAGGTGATTTTCTTGAGTCAAAATGAGAGTACCCCTAAACATTTCTTTAGTAATAGTAATTTATGGTAATTAGTAATTTATTAGTAATTTTTATTTGTACCCCGCCCATCTGCCTGGGTTTGCCCAGCCACTCTGGGCGACTTCCACAGAGACCAAAAATACACAAAAATGTCACACATTAAAAACTTCCCTGAACAGGGCTGCCTTAAGATGTCTTCTGAATGTCAGGTAGTTGTTTATCGCTTTGACATCTGATGGGAGGGTGTTCCACAGGGCGGGTGCCACCACTGAGAAGGCCCTCTGCCTAGTTCCCTGTAGCTTTGCTTCTCGCAATGAGGGAACCGCCAGAAGGCCCTCAGCGCTGGACCTCAGCATCCGGGCAGAACGATGAGGGTGGAGACGCTCCTTCAGGAGAGCGTCTTTTTTTTAGGGGAAAAAGCACTGAATATTATTATTATTCCCCACCTGTGTGCCCCACAGCTGTTGAGAATGAAGGCTTAAATGAGCCAGACGTTTGCATATACTGGTAGCACTGAGCAACCATTTGCCCCAAAATTTGTGTAAGAAATGAAATCATGCCATATATCATGAACTACCCTGAGATCTTTGGATGAAAGGTGGCATATAAATTTAATCAATCAATCAATCAATCAATCAAAAGGTCATTCGAGCTCTGCCCTTTCAATATTTTTGATTTATGAGATATCTTTTTAAGAAGGGCACTTTGCCAAACCCTCAAATACCAGCCATCCAAATTATTGAGATTCAAGGTCTTCCAGGACTTGCCTATACATTCCCAGGCTGCTGTTGAGAGATGAGAAATTCAGATCCCTCCATTTGGACTCGCCTCCCTCCCTATCCCTCCACCTGAACTTTCCTCTTACCAGCAGATGTGTGAAAGAGGAGAGCAACCAAAGCGAAGAGAAGGTAAGGAAGTCCCATGGCTGAAGTTTTCTCTGAACACTCAAGGTTGCTGGAAGGAAGCCTCTCCACAGCCGACCCGGATCAAAATCTGGATAAGATCAGGATGTTTCCCTCTATTTATATGGATGTGGAGACAATTTGCTGTGGTGCACGTGCAAATTGTGTAGCCGGGCATTTATATTGTGTCATGAGACAATCAGAAAGGACCTGAGTCAGTTTGGCAGTAAATTAGTAATGATCTATATCTGGAAGAACTAAGGCAAAAAATAATGATGATAACCCACAAAAAATCTGTTCAGATGGGTGCAAATCAAAGCAAGCATGGATAGTGCTATGCAGTGTAGCTTGACTCAGAAGTAGAGCTGGGAAAGATATTTGGTTTGTTTCGCATTTGGCACACATTACTTGGCTGGGGAAATTGCATTGAAAATTCAGAGAAGTGCAAATTTCAAAGGACGGCTGTGTTTTGCTTCCTTTGTAGTTTTAGAAAGAATGAATTAGATAAGTTTCCTTATAAATTTTGAATTTAAATTCTCCACCCTGACTGCAGGGCCACAATACAGTGGTACCTCGGGTTACAAACACCTTGGGTTACAAACACTTCAGGTTACAGACTCAGCTGACCCGGAAGTAGTACCCTGGGTTAAGAACTTTACCTCAGGATGAGAACAGAAATCGTGCGCCGGTGGCGTGGCAGCACTGGGCTGCCCCATTAGCTAAAATGGTACCTCAGATTAAGAACGGTTTCAGGTTAAGAATGGATCTCCGGAACAAATTAAGTACATAACCAGAGGTACCACTGTATCTTGAATGGCCTAGTAGCCGAACAATTCGGCTCCCGAATGCTGCAAACCTGGAAGCAGGTGTTCTGGTTTGCAAACGTTTTTTTGGAAGCTGAACTTCCGACATTACATGTAGGAAGGTCCTGCAGCCAATCAGAGGCCGCACCTTGGTTTTTGAACAGTTCCTGGAGTCAAATGGGCTCCTGAAACAGATTAAGTTCAAGATCTAATGTACGAGGAATGGTTGAGTTGGGTATGTTCAGCCTGGAGAAGAAAAGACAGAGAGGTGAGAGGGTGCCTGCCTGAAGTCCCCTGGGGAAGAGGCAATGGTTCTGTGATAGAGGAGAAACTTCTTTGTCTGCAGAAATTTTCAAGTTCAGTGGATGTTTGGCTGAAGGGAACTTATTGGTAGGGCTAAGAGAGTGTCTCCATTGAGATCTCGCATTTATTTAAATTTTAAGGGCAGTCCTTTCCAACCTGGCACCCTCCAGATCAAGGGGATGGAACTATGTTCCTATGAAGAAAAGTTGCAGTGTTTGAGATGTTTTAGTTTATTATCTAGAACAGGCATAGGCAAACTCAGCCCTCCAGATGTTTTGGGACTTTGCTTCAGGATGAGAACAGAAATCGCGCACCGGCAGTGCGGCAGCAGCAGGAGGCCCCATTAGCTAAAGTGGTACCTCAGGTTAAGAACGGTTTCAGGTTAAGAATGGACCTCCGGAACAGATTAAGTTTGTAAACAGAGGTACCACTGTACAGTGGTACCTTGGATTACATACGCTTCAGGTTACATACGCTTCAGGTTACGCTTCAGGTAACCCAGAAATAGTACCTTGGGTTAAGAACTTTGCTTCAGGATGAGAACAGAAATTGTGTGGCAGCAGTGTGGTGGCAGCGGGAGACCCCATTAGCTAAAGTGGTACCGCAGGTTAAGAACAGTTTGAGGTTAAGAACAGACCTCCAGAACAAATTAAGTTCTTAACCCGAGGTACCACTGTACAGTGGTACCTTGGATTACATACACTTCAGGTTACAGACTCCGCTAACCCAGAAATAGTACCTTGGGTTAAGAACTTTGCTTCAGGATGAGAACAGAAATCGCGTGGCAGCAGCAGGAGGCCCCATTAGCTAAAATGGTGCTTCAGGTTAAGAACAGTTTCAGGTTAAGAACGGACCTCCGGAACGAATTAAGTACGTAACCAGAGGTACCACTGTATGTCTAAAAAACAAATCACACTAGTATATGTCCTGACAAACCAAATGGGGACTAGAGTGTTCAACTGGGTTCTGCAAAAGCAAGGTTCAAATCCTCACTCGGCCATGAAACTCACTGGGTGACCTCAGGTCAGTCAGTCACTCTCAGCCTAACCTACCTCACAGGGCTGTTGTGAGGGTGAAGTGGGGATGAGAACTATCTAATGGCACCAAAGAGAAAACTAGACTGCTTGCATATTGAATAACAGGCAATTTATTACCTTACTGTTTTGCTCAGGCTTTCCTAAACCCAGAAAATTGGTCCCTGTTTGATACATTGATTTTTTTTTTTTTAAAAAAAAACCAGCCACGATGGCTAGGCTCTTTCTCTGTGGTCAGATGCAGTCAAGCTTCTGGTTTCCAGTTGCTGGAAATTACAGCAGAGGAGAGTGCTCTTATGCTCAAATCCTGCATACAGTTTTCATACTGGCACCTAGTTGGCCACTGGGAAAGCAGGATTCTAGACAGGATGGGCATTGGTCTGGTCTAACAGGGTCTTCTTATCTGGTACTCAGAGTACAGTGGTACCTCAGGTTACATACACTTCAGGTTACATAAGCTTCAGGTTACAGACTCTGCTAACCCAGAAATAGTACCTCGGGTTAAAAACTTTGCTTCAGGATGAGAACAGAAATCGTGCTCCAGCGGTGTGGCAGCAGCAGGAGGCCCCATTAGCTAAAGTGGTGCTTCAGGTTAAGAACAGTTTCAGGTTAAGAACGGACCTCCGGAACGAATTAAGTACTTAACCCGAGGTACCACTGTACCTTTTTCAATCCACAACTTAGGATCTCTGGTCTCAGTTTAGGACTTAACACTAACAAAACAGACTGGTAGGTATCTGTTCATTGTTAAGCTTCCTTTGGGAGGGGTGGTCACAGATACAGAATTTAAGGGCCAGTTACTGAGGAATAAGCATGTGGTTATGGAAGTTCCAAGTGTCACACCCTGATGGATCTGGGGTCAGAGCCCAGATAAGGTGACCTGTTTGCCTTTGATCAAGACAGACAAGGAGAAAACAAAAGATCAAAATGCATTGCGCGGCTACTGTACAAACAAAAAGGTTCGGTGTGTACACCTGGCAGACACAGGACCGCCTTTGTCTGCAATGTCTCAGCCAAAATTCATCCTGGGCCAATGTAAAAAATGTGACTATAACCGGCTTAGGTCACAGGAAACCTATGAAGAACATACCACCATATCCTTAAAATTGAATCGCCATGTTTTTGAGCTGATGTGTTAAGAACCGGATTTAAAACCTACACTTTTAAAAACTTGCATTCACTGAGTTGAACATGGTCTGAACACTCCTTTGCTTGAGATACTGGTTTATGCTGGCTGGGGCCCAATCCTGAGTGAAAACCTCTTGGTGTATCTGCCTACAATTCGCCAGGCTTATTCTACTCCAGATTATTATTATTTGTTGTTGTTGTTGTTGTTGTTTATTCAACTATACCCGGAGGTCTCAGGGCGGTTCACAACAAGACCACAACATATCAAATCAAACCAAAAGCAGTAACCCAATAACCCCCCCTCTATAGGAGATAAGCTCCTATGCATATGAATTCAGGTAAAAAAATTGGTAAGGTAAAGGGCCCCTGGATGGTTAAGTCCAGTCAAAGGCGACTATGGGGTTGTGGTGCTCATCTCGCTTTACAGGCCGAGGGAGCCGATGTTTGTCTACAGACAGCTTTCTGGGTCATGTGGCCAGCATGACTAAGAAGAAGAAGAAGAAGAAGAGTTTGGATATGATATCCCGCTTTTTCACTACCCAAAGGAGTCTCAAAGTGGCTAACATTCTCCTTTCCCTTCCTCCCCCACAACAAACACTCTGTGAGGTGAGTGGGGCTGAGAGACTTCAAAGAAGTGTGACTGGCCCAAGGTCACACAGCAGCTGCATGTGGAGGAGTGGAGACGTGAACCCGGTTCACCAGATTACGAGTCTACCGCTCTTAACCACTACACCACACTGGCTCTAAGCAGCTAAGCAGCTACTGGCGCATGGAGCACCATGACAAGTGCCAGGGCACACTGAAACACTGTTTACCTTCCTACCACAGCTGTACCTATTTATCTACTTCCACTGGCATGCTTTCGAACTATAGTGGTACCTCTGGTTGTGAACGGGATCCATTCTGGAGCTCTGGTTGGATCCCGAGGCTTCCGCAACCAGAGGGACTGCTTCTGCGCATGCAGGCACAGTGGTAGAGTGCTTCTGTGCATCCCTACTTCATGTTATAGCTAAGATGTTGGTGAACACATTAAAAACACATTGTCAAGCCCACATTTTGAACATTTATTTGATGAGCTGATGAGTTCGGCTCACTGAGATCGCTGAGATGTCTAGTACAAGTGCAGCCTTGACTTGCTTCTCCAAGTGAAGATCTGTCTTAGTTTTCATCAGGAAATCAGGGGTGAACGTTTGTCCTTGCAGATCCGAGCTCTTCAGCAGCAACATCAAGCCTTGCAGCATTTGCGATTTGGACCACAATAGCCCCGTATTTGCCCCTCGGGGCATAGAGCAGGTTTTATCACACAGTAACCCCCCATCTCATCACAGGGGATAAGGTGCACCCCTGCAGAAAATAAACATATCATTTCAGTGTTTTTATCTAGGGTGTGAATTCAGAGCTGTGAGTAGTTTGGACACCAGGCAATGGGAATCCCTGTGGTCTTAAACAGCTACAGTTTTGCCCCACACTTCAGTACACTTTTGCTCATTCTGTCTGCAGAACCAGTGGCCCTTCAGATGTTACACTGTCCTGAAGGAGGCTGAGTTACGATTTAGTCAGAAATAAATGAGATTGATTTCCATGGCACCTGCCTCAAACCATGTGTGCTTAGGACCAAAGAATCTTAATGCATTGCAGCACTGACATAGCATTAAACAAAAAAGTGCTTTCTATTTGGCCAAACCTCCTTCCATTAAACAACTAATCTGCACCCCTTAACTCCCCAGTCTGAGCTGCCCTCTTACCTGTGAAAACTTGGAAGAGCAGAACAACCATAGCAAAGAAAATGTGGAAGAACTTCATGGCCAAAGTTTTCTCTGAGATCTCAAGACATCTGGCAAGAAGCAGCTTAAAGACAAAGTGACGGTGGATCTGGATACAAATTGAAGAT